GGTCAACAAAACCTGGTCTTTACGGGAGACCTTAACTACCCAGACATTTGCTGGAAGAACACCACTGTAGCTCACCTGACATCAATCGAGTTCCTGGAATACGTGGAAGACTGCTTCCTCCCACAAATGTTAGATATGCTAACCAGGAATGGGGCACAGCTGGACTTAAAACTCAGTAACCAAGAGAACCTGCTGTGTAAAATCTTGGTTAGTGACAGACTTGGTTGCAGTGACCACAGTATTGTGGAGTTTGGGATACTGCTGAGCACAATGACGGTTAATTCCAGGACAAAGGTTTTAGATTTTAGAAGAGCAAACTTCAACTTGCTCAGGGCTCAGTTGGAAGGGATCCCATGGGAAGCTTCCATAGAGGGTAAGGAGCTAGTGAGTGCTAGCAGTTTTCTCGAAAAACTCTCCTAGATAAGCAAAACTGGTTCATTCCCTCTAAAGTTAAGGAGAGTAGGCAGAGCAAGAGACCCCCTTGGCTTAACTGTGAGTTTCTGGGTCTGCTCAGAACCAAAAGGGAAATGTACCAGAGGTGGAAAAATGGAGCAGTACTGGTTGGAAATTACAAGGGCACTGCCAAAAAACTCAGCTTGAGCTGACATTGGCCAGAGATGTCAAAAACTTCAAGAAAGGGTTCTTCAGATATGTTAACCACCGGCAGAAACAGATATTGGCCCACTATTAAACAGGAGAGGTGAACTAGTCACCAACAATGCTGAAAAGGCAGAGGGCCTCGACCCCTTCTTCACTTCTGTTTTTACCAGTGCCGTTGAGCCCCAGGTCATAGGAACCAAAGTCCAGGTTGATGCAGATGCTGATCCAAGTTCATTGGTTATTTCTTCCTTGCAAACATGACATTTTCCATGTCTACATGAGCAAGCTTTTTGGTGTGACAGAATCAGATTGACATACTGGAGCACTGAAAGCCCCATACTTACACAACATGGGTTCAGTTGTTTTCTTTTGAGCTAAATGTTGTCGAGTGTCCACAAAAGAACACACCTACCTATAGAGTTTGAAGTAGTCTGACTGACCAGCCTCTCATCTGGATCCTTGTTCCTCCATTTGGATGCAGACTGTGCTTGGCAGGCAGCTGAAGCTCATCAGTTTCATCTCCTTTAAAAGGAATCTAGATCTGAACCAATGGGCTGCAAGACATGACTGTGGACTGTAAGAAAGGAAAGTGTTAATATATGTTTCTCAGCTTGTTCCCTTAAACTGTTATTAAGGGCAGGAAAAGGTTTGTGTTCATCAGCTGTGTGTAAGAGGCCAAATCACCAGCTGACAAGCACTGACACTAAGAGAGGAGTTAATGGGCCAATAATCACACATTTACCTGGCTTCTGAACTGCTTTTATGATAGGAATGTAATTTTAAGCCACCTCATTCTGAAGGTCTGAAAATCTGTACATTCTCATTAAGGATAATACTAGTTGTCAAATTTGTAATGAATTAAAAGGATTTCACTGATTAAGAACATTTGCATTTTTCCCATTCAAATGCCCTATTACCTATCATCTGTGATGAAAAAAAATCAACAGGTCATTGAACTTAAAAACCCTTCTGTTAGAAACAGAGACCTGTCTTCATTAGTATTAGCAAAGTGTTTTAAGGCTTATCAGAAAAGGATGGTAGCAATAGAAGTACTTAGGAACATGAGCGATGACTGACCACATCAGTCCTTTCCTTAAACTCAGATCAGTGTGCAATTCTTTTTGTCTTGTCTAAATGCAGGGGCACAGATGCTTTGCTTATATATACTATACTTAGGGAGCTGAGCATTTCACTCATACAAACCTCTCCAAATTCACATACCAAATCCTGTAAAATAGCTGCTGAGATTAAAAGAATTAATTACAGAGAAATGCTTACTGGAATAAGAAGGATGTTTCCCATATAAACACTCTGATAGCTAACCTGACTTTTCCTCTGCAGAACATTTCTACTATAGGAATTTAACCTATGGACACACATAATTAGCTTTTATCTTAAAGTTGCTGAAAGTATTATTTGCCTAAGAAGATCAGTCTTTTCAGTGTTCAACAGAAGTACTGACAAATGAGCCTAAAATGATTGCAGAACTTTTAAAACACCATTTCCTGATCTTTTATTTTAAACCAGAATGCCTTTCAGTGAAAAACCTTTTAATCTGACCTTTTGGGTTTTTTCAAATCAAGGCTCAACTTTGAATACATTATGTATTCCAACCTTGAGATCGTTTTCAAGGCTGTTTTGAGCCATATAGGAGACAACTGCAGCAGCCTCTTCAATGGAACTTTCGTGCCAATTTATTTCTTCTGGTCATTTTTATTTTAAACCAGAATGCCTTTCAGTGAAAAACCTTTTAATCTGACCTTTTGGGTTTTTTCAAATCAAGGCTCAACTTTGAATACATTATGTATTCCAACCTTGAGATCGTTTTCAAGGCTGTTTTGAGCCATATAGGAGACAACTGCAGCAGCCTCTTCAATGGAACTTTCGTGCCAATTTATTTCTTCTGGTCATTTTAACTGGATGCAGTTTCCTGTTTGCACTGCAGCACTTTACCATGTCAGTGGTGACAGGACAACTCTTTTTAGCTGTGCTGTACCAAAACAATTTGATTTAAAAATAATTTTCCAGAAGAGGGGTATTTTTAAGCACATGTGGAAGACAGAAGAGGTGATACTGAAAAGCAAAGACAGGAACAAAGCTGTCTCAGATGGGTCATGGCAGGGAAATAGACTTTTCAATCAGTTTGGCTCTATACCACAAGCTTGAATTGTACAATTCCTATAAAAAAAGATGAGGGTCAAATTTTGAATTACTTCTACAGACTTATAGAGTAATCCTCTTACTTAAGTCAGTGAATTATCTGGATCCTTCACTGCTACACAGTTTTATACAAGCATTGAAATAATGTGAATTACATTTCTGTTTTTTCTACTCTTAGAATTCTAGGTCTATTTATCAGTCTTGGGAGATTTATCTTACTCAGCTGCTAGCAACAACTGAAAGACTGATACCATAAACAGCATTCAATTTATACTATTCTCTCTCAGTAAAAATGGGACTTTCCATTTTAGTTTTAAGTCATACTGCCATCTACAGACTGAATAAACACTTGCAATACTATGTTTAAAAGAAGCTAATGCAGGTTCTAAGAGATTTCTGGTCTCCACAAAACAGGATTGCCTCTGAGCTCAGACCAGCTTGCTCACAGCTTTATCCCATTGTCTTGGAAACCTTCTCAGATGGACACTGCACAGACGCTGGGGATTCTGTTCCACTGTCTGACTGTCTTCACAGGGGAGAAGTACTTTGTTTTAGCCAATCTGAATCTTTAATTTCAGTTTATGTTCATTGTCTTTTGTTCTCCTGCTGTGCATCAGTACTAAGAGCCTGGCTTCATCTTCTTGCTAACCCCCCCACAGCTACTGGGGAGCTGCTGTTGGTTCCACGACAAACCATTTCTTTTCCAGGTTGAAGCCCAGTTCCTTCAGCCTGTACTCAAATGGCAAGTGCTGGTGTCACCAAATAGCCTGGAGGCTCTTTGCTCACCTTGTTCATCCTTTTTATGTCTTTCTTGTGCTGGGGATCAAAACTAGACACAGAAGTTAAATTTAGTCTAACAAGTGCTGAAAAATGAGACATAATCCCTTCCCTTCGCCTATTTTCTGTATTCCTGCTAACACATCCCAGGGCACTGCTAGTTATTCTTGCTGCCAAGGCACAGAGCTGGGCTATGTTCAGCTGCCCATTAGACCCCCAGGGCCATTCCCACAGAGCAGCTCCCCAGCCTAGGCTGTTGCAGGGGTGTTTCCTTCCCAGGAGGAGAACTTTGCATCTGTCCTTGCTGAATGTCATAAGGTTCCTGCTAGCTTGTTCCTTCAGCATGTCTAGCTTGCCCTGAACGGCACCCTGAACCTCCACAGTATCTATTTGTTCCTTAACTTAGTGTCATCTGCAAATCAGATGAGAGTGAACTCCATCCTCTCCTCCAGGTAACTGACAAATATGTTAAAACAGGTGGGGCCTAGGAGAAACCAGAGAATAGGATATGACCCATTAACCACTACTCTCTAAGCCTTACCCAATCACTTTTTTACCCATCTGGTTGTCCATCGATCCTGACCATAATATCCTAACTTGGTTTTAAGAATATTGTGGAACAGTGTCAAAAGCCGTACTAAAATAAATGTTTCAGCTCTCCCCTTTTCCACAAATCCACACATTTTCTCACAGTTAACTGTATTATTTTTTTTAATTACGAAAAAAATATAAAAGCTTTTTTCCAGGGACAGTTCCATTAACCTTCTATTCCTGTTACTATAAAGCTTTATGATGCAAAAAAAAGTCATCCTGTAAACAATAAAATGGGATTTTGGTTTTATTATAAATGATTTTGCAGTTATGTTCATTACTCACCTCATCTTGATGAGCTTGAATAGGCACTAACTAACACTAACTAACTACTTAATCCTGAAATCCTTAGCTTTAATTAAAGATGGGGGATTCATAAAATGTCTGATAAAGTATCAGATGACTTTTGTCACTGCTGACTCAGGACATTCACCTTTTCACACTTCGTGCCTGAACACAATGAAAATATATTTAGTGGACCTCAGTACAGCAGCTTTTCAGTTACATGTATGTTGGCTGCAAACTTGTAACATTGTTGCTTGAACAGCATTTAGTGTACACCATTTTTAAAAATTATGAAATAAAAGATTAATGTGCTTGCTGCAAACCTTTTTCCAGGATTTAACTCTGCAAGTCAGAGGCCTATGCAAATATGAAATTCATGCTTGCAGCCCATGGCCTCATTAAGTCCTGTTAAACTGGCGTGGCATTAACACGTAGCTTTACTCCAGTGAAACCAAGGGTTTGCATTTAGGGTTTGGAATGTTTTTGGAACATTAAAATTTTTTTGTGTGAGTTTCCTCCTAATCAGTGTGAACCTCAATCTATGATTTTTTTCTGTTTCTGGCTTGGACTGTTATTCTCCCTTATATTCTTGGCATTATACATAAAGTATCACCACTGTATAATACCCCTGCAATCTTTCATTAATTGGAATCTTAAAGGTCACATTTCATTACTTCTCTCAGACAGACCGTTGCATAACATGAAGGATCAAGGTCAAATGATATATGAAGAGAGACTTTTGATTCATTCAGATAGTTGTCTTCAATTCCAATTCCTTCTTCATTACTTTGCAAAAAATATGACACATTCTGAATATTCTTCAAAATGGGTCTGTAGCATCCGGGTATATTCAGCTGTAGTGGAGACACTCTGAATTTGCACATTTGCAGCTCATCCTTAGAAAGCCTTTCGTGGTACCATTGCCCAACTTTATTACTGGGATACTTGATACTATGTCCCACCATTGGAAGAACCACCTTCAAATTAAAAAACAAAACAACAAACATTTGAAATTAAGTCCACCAATTTCTCTTTAAATATATGTGATTACAAATGTCTATGTGTCTAAATCTTGTGGTTTGGGGCCTGAAATAGTAAAAGAGCAGCCTCTCTTGTGAAGCTGTGCAAAGCAGGTAATTGGATGTAATTAAAGGAGAAAAAATAATGGATATATAAGGATTCCTAAAAAACTAGAAAACACTAACATTAATTTCCTTGCTTGTTAGGAAAGATACAGCAATAAAGACATTAAATTGCCCATGTAAGACTTCACAGATATGCACTCTGAGCCTTCAAAATTAGAACACCGACTGCTTTTGAATGTTTCTCCCAGTAGACTGAAAAAATTCTCTAGTTTCAAGATAAATATTGTCATACTGCAAATGACACTGTACTTCTTTCCATTACAAAGACATATTCTTTCCTCCTGTTTGTTATGAGAGTGGAGCTTAGTTCACAAGTCTTTTCTTTAATATGCATTCTGCAAGACTACACCAGTTAACTTGATCACATTGTTAAAAAAAACAACAAACAACCCAAGAAACATTTTTCATATAGACTTACTTGGTTTATGGAGTATTTGTTAGCTGACTCTTCTGGAGCAGTGACTACATGAACCTGACAAGACATTTAAGAAGTTAAGAAAAAAAACCCTTTTTTTCAAAATAAAACACAATTTATTTTAGGAATTATGCACTGTACTTCCCAACTCTTAAAGGATTCTAAGGTTATTTGACTACTATAAGGATAATAATCTATTTCAGGTATGAAGAATTATAAAGATGCTTAATATAAAGTAATATTTATTGGTAAATGATGTTGCATCAATATTTATTGATGCTAGCTACTAGTAATTAGCAAATTATCACTACAAACTCAATCTTTGAGTTTGAGGTTAATTGGAGAAACTGGTGCTACATCAGCAAAAGCATAAATACTAAGAAAAAGGTTTTATATTAAATAGGAATATATCTGTATTAAAATAAATAACTCAATACTGAATCTGGTACTTCTGATTTTAATTTTATTTGATCTACTTGTTTTATTAACATTGACTCTTACAAATTTTGTTGAAGAAAAATCACAAGGGAAACAGAAGCTACTCTGCAGGGACTGGACGTTACTTCCAAATGCTCTTGCTTTCAAATCTGCAAGATTTTCACCCAAAATAAGTGAGATACATTCTCCCTATGCACACTGGTAATACAGGCACACCCAGACCACTCTGAAAGCTTCACCACTCATATCCTAAGGAGAGTAGTATACACAATGCAGGCTAAATCCTTACATATACCAATTCTGACATTCTATTTCTTCTTCTCAGTTGAATTACATGAATAGTCAGAACAGATAAAAGCTGCTAATATATCTCTAGCTTATATGCCTATGTATGGTAAATCAAAAAAAGCTACAAAACTTTTTTCACCTTTGTCACTAATATTTTTAATAAATGAACCAAAATAAAAGCATTGGAGTAGGTCTGGGTATGTATGCAAGTGCATTAAGCTTTTTTTTTTTTTTTTACAAGAATTATTCTGTGACGACTCACCTTGTCATTCAGGAAAAAGCTTTCATCATGTTCTGAGAAGACAAGATCCCCTTCCACAACTTTGGAACCATAGATCTGCAGTCTATATGATGCTGCTTCGTTCCAAATTTTACTACAATAAGCATGGACATAGAATATGCGCATGGAATGAGGAATATTGAGCCATCCTTTGGTACAACCTTCATGATTTACACCATAGCGATGTAAAGCTCGTAGCAACATCTTCTCTCTCACTTTAAATTCCGGCAGCATCCCGAGTGCACCTTTTGCATCTTCTGATAGAAACAAAAATAACCATATAAGTAATCTTTGATGTTTCAAATATTACCTATCAGGAAAAACTACACTTAAGAAGATTAAATAATCAGGTAGGGAAAAGTGGTATCAGTCTAAGCTTTTTATGGTGACTTCTATGTTATTATTCCCTTCAATATGTCATGTTAGACAAATTTTATCTTAGATGCCTATCAACACAATCCCATGAATTCTATTTCATGCAGTATAAACTAAACTAGCTGTCATTCAGTTTCTCAGCCTAGTTTGAATTTATTTATGTGGTTTAGAAACTTACTTAATCACTCCAACTTTTTTTAGATCAGGTAGCTGAAATTGAAAACCAAACTATAAAAGAACATGAAACCTCTACTTTACATCATTTGAGAACAGTCACTTTGTGGGGGTTAAAAACTTTGTCTTTATTTTAAAGGTACAATTTGCATTGGCCACTGCAGGAAATCTGTGTCTCAAACAAGACGGAAATATATTTAATCAGATTTTACATTATATGACTGTTGTGTGTTTCAAATTGTATAGTTTACCCATTTTCTCATTACAAGTGGTCATCTGAGAAAGCCTTTTACCTTTTGCTTTCAGGAAAAGGCAAGCAGCTCCTGGCAGAGTCCACATCAATGTCTTTCCATGCATCATACAGCAACATACAACACAGAATAATTAATCACATCTGTTTTTATGAAATGAAACATATGGCTGTCTCTTGAAGCTATATATCATAGTTGTTCTCTCAGCCTACTGTGATAAGAAGGCTAATAGATGTGGCATACTTGAAAAGAACAAATATTTTTTCAGTCAAGAGCAACTCCAAATTTTTAGTTTTGGAGAGAAAGGTTAAGTTAAATGATGAAAGCAATAACTATGAAAAATAAGAGCATTTCACTCAGCACACTTCTGCCTTTGACATATTTTGTTCATTTTAATTCAAACAGAATCAAGGTAGATCACAGGAAAGCATGGAACAGATACATACTTAAAGAGATGTAAAAGCAAAGCTCAAAGGAGCAAAAAACAAGTGCTAAGATTGTTATAGAAATCACATAAAATTAGGTGCCCACATGTGGTCAGTGCTAAGAGTGGACTGCCTCATTCCCGTATACTTTCTTTATTAGGGAGGAGAAGCTTATATTCCAAAACCTGACAGATGGGAGAAGTCTAAAAATGCTTTGGTAAAATTATCTTAGTCTTGTCCAGCCTTACGCTATGCAGTGTTTGTTTCTATACTGTCTTGTATCTGAAGTACATTAGTTTTCCACTATTTCTCACATTTAGGGACTCATCTAATTTTTAACTGTGCAAGTCTACTGAGTTCTGCAGAATATGCTATTACGTGGTACAAAGCAGCAGCAAAAGTATCTCTCTGTGCAGCAACACACCTTAGTGTCTTACAATACCAACCCTGAAAAAAACATACAGAAAATGTAACTGGACTTACCAGTTTGAAGAAAGTATCTTTTTGCATCGTTTACAGGGTCATCAGTATCTTCAGGTGTGAAGAATAACTTCACAGCTTTCACCTTCAAAGAACAGTATTTTTTTTATTATAGACACATGACAGCTTTCAAAACTTTATGACAAATCAGTCAATCTCCTTGAGCATCCAGTTACAACTCCTCCACTTCGTAATACCATCATCCTATCCTGTACAGGAAGATTCCTTCTTTCCCTTTTACCTGTTTCATGCTAAATTTAAACTCAACACTTTTCACAGTATCACACAGTGGAACAATCTTTCGTTTTTTATACTGATCTGTACTAAGTTGGATGACACTGTGACAGAGAAAACACTACACTAACTTCTGCTACTTGCAACACCAGCAGAGCTACACATTTGCTAGCACTTATACCCACCTGTGGCATTTGGTTCTTGTTTTCCTCTGCATTGGACTGTGCAAGCACATACTGGCACATTTTAAATATAAATAGTAGTTTCTACATGTTTTAAATTTAAAAGTACCTGTGTAAAGACTAGAGATTTAAATCACTACTTTGCAGGGACTGGCCCCTGGTACCAACTGCTAGCATGCGAGAATTCAAAATGTCAGATATATCAACCGTAACTTTTATGGGCTGCCCTCAAATCTTGTTTCTTCTTCTATTTGGAGGATAAGTCTTCCTGACTTTTCTCAGAAACAAAACAAGATTAGAAGAAGAGGCTACTCAAGTGTTCTTTTGACTTTGTAGCATCTGATTCTTTTTTAGACCTGTGCTAAGTACTCTACCACATACACTGGAAAGTAGATGACTCTTATGAATTATTACTTAAGAAATAAGCTCTCCTTAGCTTATGAGCAAGCAATTGTTCGAACTAAGAGTTAGGGAAAGTAACCAAGGAGTAATGAAAAGCAGACATATTTTGTATATAGAGGGTAAATCACTGTGGTATTGAAAACAAAAACCCTTTCATATAATCCTATGTAATGTCTTATGACATTTTTAAGAAGTATATAGACCACCAGCAGGATAGAGAGGCTAGAAGTTAGGAGGCAATCAGGACCACAAATAAACATTGTTTAAAGACGAGTCCACTTCAGTGTTCAAACCTTGTATGGAGTGCAACTGCTTTCCTGTCAAGTGGCATGGCAATGATCACAATCACACACCAATCATAGACCAAAAAAACACTTCCTGTGCTATTTAAAGCTGCACCTGCTGTTTAAGAAAGATTTTCTGTTTCAGGATGAAGATCTTCATGCTTATGTTGTCAAAACTGACCTGGCAATTACTTCCAGTACACATACAGGTTTATCTCATAAATGAAATTGTTCAATGGGAAGGTCAACTGCAGCACTATACGTTGTAACAGTAATGTGAAATTAACTTGACAGTAACTATTTAATTTCAAAATGAAAATACCATTTTTTCATTCAGTAAAGCCAATCCTATTTGATCTGTCTGAACATTCTGTCCTTGTCCAAATCGCTGAGGTCCGTAGTAATTTACAAAACCTTTTGTCTAGAATGATAAAGAATAAATATGTTAAAAGCATGAAAGTATCAGGTTCAATTAGTAATGCTAAGCACACACCTCTACATTAAAATCCAAAATGCATGCAAACTGTATTTTTAATCAGAAAAAAATATGTAACAAAATCGTAATTTAGGAATAATGACAATATTTTAGCCCCTAATTTAGAAACATCTAAAATGACAATCAAGTTCTATCATCATCTTCACTTTTATAAAAAACAGGTAAACTAAACAAAACTATTTCTATATAGTTATTCATCATAAATACGATTATTGGTCAAGTCAAAGTAATCAAGCTTTTTATATGCACCAAATTATGAAATCTCTACTCAAGCAAATGTGGCATAGCACAGGTAATGAACAATAACCACTGTTGGACATTTTTTCTTAAAAATACTATTTTTTTTTTCACATGAGATGATTTGCATTATTATTACAATAGTAAAGACCAAGAGTGAGCACTTCTGCTAATTGGTATTTTAAGTCTCCTACTTCTCGGTCACATGTGGGCAGTAAAATCACAGTCATGTGACTCAATGAGAACATCTTTTCCTTGAAAACAGTAAATATGCATGGAGTATACAAGTCAAAAATATGCAGCATTTGTGTCTGAAATGGGTATTCAGTTTAAATTACATAACCTTGCTTTGGACATCCTTAGGTGATATTGTTCTCATAGGAGAAATCCAAATTTTGGATTAATACCCATGTTGTATTTGTCATTCATCTTATCATCAGTAAAATAAATCTAAGAAAGCAAGACACACAATCATAGGAATTTGTGTTTATTTTCCAAACAGTAAAACAAAAAACTAGTGCTCAGAGGGAGCACAGAGAGAGAAAAGCATTAAAGTACCAGCTAAATGCTTTTTTCAATAAAATTCTTTTCCAAAACATGAGTAATGCCTTTTGCTTTTGCATAATGGGTAGTTCTCATTCAAGTCTTTATTGCTGGATTAATCTTCTTAAAGTAATTGGTATTACGGTTAGTACTCAGAAAGATAGGGCATGAAAATTACTGCTGTACAAAAGACTTACTGTTTTCTATTCTATTATTTTCCTCTTCTTAGTGATTTAAGAATGTCTGATTATGGGGTTTTCTATAGGGACTAAGGATAACAGCAAACAAATTCCACTGAATTTCAGCAGATCTTCTTTCTCTGCTGCTGACACTTCACATGTATTTATGCCAAGAACAGTTTTTCACCTAAGCCAACCATGCAAGTTCTTCTGATGACCAAAAAAGGCAATCAGTTGATGTGTGTGACTACCTTCTGTCATGCTGTCAACTGCCACAGTGAAACACTTCACTTGGGCTTGCCTTAGGCCTGTGCAGCAATAGCTTATGTACCCATACTAATTTCCTACTAAATTTCCCATCTGCCTTGCTGCACACTCTGGGGTCTGTGGTTTGTAACACAGAATGAATTCACTTACGGTCCCGCCGTGGAAGGCAGCTTTACTCCTGATTCCTTAAGTAATGCAGGAAAGACATAAAATAGCAAAAAGCATCAAAACTGGGAAATAGTGCCATTATTGTGCTATTAAAAGCATTTTCTTTACAATTATTTTTTTATTTTTACAGCACATAATTTAAAACAGCTTATTATTAGCAACCATGGTACTTTTTTACCTCAACATTTTCTATTGCTTCAGATATTCTCTTTTTCAAATCTGCAGAAGAGTCATCATGACTGTGGTGTTTAAGATCTCTTACAACTATGTCAAAGTGATTGCCCTTCAGCTGACCAAGTTTAAGGTGTTGGCATGCCAAACGGATGTTGTGTATTCTCATGCCCTTGTTTTCCATTTTGCTTCCAATTTCTTTCAACCTGCATGAATAATTGGGAGGAATTATGAAACATCCTCTACTAAAGCTATACAACTTCTAATAAATGTCTTCTTCACCGTTGCACTAGAATTAAAAACAAAAATTAAAAAGGGATGTAAAACATTATGAGAAAACCAAATCAAATGGAGACATACAAGTCTTAAATTTTAATTACAGTTCAGAAATACTCTTTAAAGTGTTTGCTTCATTTATATTCTGAAGCTCCACAGATACTGAAATGAAGCAATTCATTGAACTTTATCAAAGCAACTAAACCGAATTTTTCATTTTTATTGAAAAAAAAGTAATTTACTTTTCAGTCCTAAAAATCTGCTTTTCATTACAGAAAAAATAATTAAAGAAAAGAAGAAGAAAAAGTAATGTGCTCTAGCAGACTCCAAAACACAACTGCTCTTTCTTGGTCAGCCTTAACGATAACAAACTCAGTGCACTGACTTTCTGGGTATGCTTCTACATGCTTGTAATTGGAAACACAGCTGACAGTTCAAGAATTTGTCCTTTATAGTATCCATTGAATCTCTTTGTTCTTATGTGTAAGTAATAGTCATTCAAATAAAATGAAATTTCCAGCATAAGAGCCTACATTCTATGCAATATTTTAATAACTTTATTTTTTTTTTATTTAGAAAAAAATATTTATTTTCTGTTAGGCTAGTGGCTTGGAAGTATTTAACTATTTTGCATAATCATTTAAGTATTAATTAATGCAAAGTTTTTATAATTATATCTGGAACAACTGGTCTTACATCCCAGTTTGCAGCAGAATTTTACTATTGATATTTATGTTAGTAATAAATCTTAAAAGCATGAGTTCTGCTTTCTTCTAATTGCAAAGAGTACTTTGTTGCTAAGAACAAAAACCACTAGAAAGTTAAAGCTGAGGAAGAAACAAGTTATGGTTTTGACTCCAGAAATTTTTTACTGTTACTATGGCAGAACTTAAGATGTATTTTTTCACCCTCTCAATAGGCTACAGGAAGGAAGAAAAAAAAAAAAAAGGAATGAAAAGGCGTATCTTCTACTATTGACACGTTATTCAGAATGAATTTTTGGCCCTCAGGTTTGGTGATATCTTCTTTACTTACTCATATGCTTCTAAGCAGCATAATACAGTAGATGTTGATACTTCGCATTCAAAGAGAGCACCTGTCCAAAATATATTTGTAACTGCCTACTTCAGGTTTGTAGCTTTATGAAGCTTTCAAGCTGTTACCTGTGGTCACAAAACAATGCTTTGATAAACTGTGAAAACCTGTTGTGTCGTGTAGCATAGCCTCCTCTGTTCCAGCTACTGGATGCTATTTAAGAAATTGTAAAGTGGATCCCATGAGCGTGAATTGGAAGGATACTGTCCCAGACGATTTAGTATATTCATATTATGAATCATAGAATGTATGGGGTTGGAAGAGGCCTTTTAAAGGTCATCCAGCCAAAACCCCCTGCAGGGTCCAGGGATATTTTTTACTAGATCAGGTTGCTCAGAGCCTGGTCAAGCCTGATCATGAATGTTTCCAAGGGATGGGGTGTCCACCACCTCTCTGGGCAACCTGTTCCAGTGCTTCACCATCCTCATTGTAAAGAACTTCTTAATGTCTCATCTAAATCTACCCTGCCCTAGTTTAAGACCATTTCCCCTCATCCTATCCCAACACATCCTTGTGAACAGTCCCTCCCCAGCTTTCGTGTAGTTTTCAGGCACTATAAAGTCTCCCCAAAGCCTTCTCCTCACCAGGCTGAACAATCCCAGCTCTCTCAGCCTGTCTTCACAGGAGAGGTGCTCCAGCTCTCTGATAATCATTGACATCATCTCTGATGATCATTTTTGCAGCCCTTCCCTGGACTTGTTCCAACAGGTCCATGTCCCCCTTGTGTTGAGGACTCCAGAGCTGGACAGAATGCTCCACATGGGGTCTTAAGAAAGCAAAGGGGCAGAATCACCTCCCTTAACCTGCTGGCCACACTTCTCTTGATGCAGCCCATGATGCCAATTGGCCCTCTGGGCTGTGAGTGTACATTGTTTGCCCACATCCAACTTTTTGTCCACCAGTACCAAGTCCCTTTCTGCAGGATTGCTCTCTAACACAGCATTTCCCAGCCTGTATTCATAGCGAGGATTGTTCCTGCCCAGGTGCAGGACCATGCACTTGACCTTGCTGAACCTCATGAGCTTTACACAGGCTCACTTCTCTAGCTTGTCCAGGTCCTTCTGGACAACATCCCATCCCTCTGACATATTGACTGCACCAGTTAGCTTGATGTCATCTGAAAACTTGCTGAGGGTGCCCTGGATCCCACTGTCTATATTGTTGATGTAGATGTTAAACAGCACTGGCACCAGTACGGACTTCTGAGGGTCTCATACAGAGAAAGGCAAAACTTTTTGCTTAAATCTCAACACTACGGAACTTCTGTGCCAAGCTGTACATTCCCTAGAGCCACAAAACAATAAAACCATTTCCACTGTGTTCTAACACACGAGAAGGGCAGACATATGAATAAGAACATTTCAGAAGATTATCCCATGTTGATAGTATCAGATTGTTAGTACCTCTCAGGAGTCACCTTCTTCACAACCATAGGTTGGTAAGAAATAGCCTTCTTGTCTTTGATGCCAGTATAGCTGAAGTCTGAAGGAAGAACACCAAGTTCAGCAGCCAATAAGCTGATTGCTTCTAGCGTTTCCAGATTTTCTTTCTGAAGGGTGAAAGCTGAAACAATCATCTCAGAATTATTAGGAATTTGCATTTCTAAATCATACAGGTGTTCTGCCATGACAGATAGGCAGGTTCATCCCTTCAGGCTATACTAGCATGGAAACTGTAAAGAAAATGTCCTCCGACCCCACAGAACAGAAGGAAACTGAAAAAGATAAAGCACACAAAACTCTTTAGAAAACTGGAACCCTCTGCTGCCTTTAAAAATAGCACCTGATAAATTGCAACACAATTAAATGAACATGTACTGACTTGCTCCTAGAAACATTCTCTGTATCTCAAGGAATGAGATAATAAATCAAATTTGACCTTATTGACTTGTCCAACATCTAGATGCATCTTCTAAAATTCCCCAATTACTTCTGAGGGAAAGATATCACACAGGGAATAACAGTTAGTGCTACAAACAAAAGAACTGTAACTGAACAGTTTATGTAAAACCACTGCAGTAACTGGATTCATCCATCTCTTTCTCCAGTGATGTAACTGCACTGTATTAATAATAATTTATTTCAGCATAAACAATAGGTCTACCAGGCCCATATGTAATTAAAAAATTATTCCAAGTCTTAGTCTTACCAAAGAACAATAATATCTGTCTCACTAAAAATACACCATTACCTGTATAAACATCTTGTTTTTCCTGGAAACCACCAGCAGATCTTTTTCTGGACCACCTTTTTTCTCTAAATCGTACCACTATTGACATATTTGGCTGATCATTGACATCTGTCACCGTAAAAGACTTTGTTTCTAAAAGTTTCCCAAATTTTCTACTGATAAAGTGGTGAACTATTTTCCTGTGCTCTTTGTTTCCATCAGGCTCAAAAGAAAACGTAGAATTTTCTAGCTTTGCATCCAAAAATTTAAAGAAATCACTTGTTTCCTTTTCAGTCACTAACTGACAAAGTTCTCTGTAATCAGCATTTCCTTTCACTATCATCTCACTGTCTTTTGTAGCAGTAACTAGGAAGGGGAATTTCTGCCTGACAGCACTGTGTAAATCAGCTCGGGTTTTCTTGTCCGGTATAGGTCCCAGGGAGAACTCCCTGGTGCTAGAGTCAGCGGTACTTTCCAAGTCCCAGGCATCCTTCAAATCACAAGCGAATTTATTAAGCAAATCACTCATGGATTTGCCTAGTAAGGAATCCAACGCATTGTTTTCTTTGAGGCCAGGTTTCAGGTCAGGTTCACCCTCGTGATGGTTTTTGTTAGGGGATGCAGAACAGCCGCCTCCTGCCCAGCTCGGGTCCCCCTCCGCGGGCCTGGACGCGCCAGCAGGACAGGCCTCAGCAGGCAGAGCGAGAGGGTCCACCCTCAGCTTTCTGGGCTGCTGCAGGCACGGGCTGCTGTGTTCTAGCAGCACTTCGCCGGTTCTCTGAAGGGCTTCAGCCCTGGTAACCCCCTGCAGCTGCTCGGGCACCTCGATTTCTGTCACTACGAAGTCACTCGGCGAGTTTTTGATGGTACCACAGAAGCCAACGTGATGGGTCACGTAGCTGAAGGAAGGCAGCATGGCTGCCCTGCCTCCCCCGCTCCCGCGGCAAACCACCACCCCTGCGGGAGGAGAGAACAAACAAACAAGGGCAGTGAAAAGCAAAACGCAACAAGCACTTCAGGAAAGGCGCCCGCCCAAGGGACGGGACCCACGCGGGACGGGACCCGCG